TACTTTTATAACAAACCTGTCAGTCCTGGTGTTACTGCCAGTAATTTTGGTCAAAATTCTGGTGTTCCGATAGAAATGATGAAACAACTGGGGCTCCAGTCGGCCAGACAGGCACCCCTACAAACTATAGGCCGTCCCCTCGATATAGCAAATGCGGTGGCATTCCTGGCCTCAAAAGAGGCTCAGTTTATAACCGGTGCTAATTTGGTGGTCGACGGAGGGATTACTTACAATTTCGGCGGTGAATTTTGAGACAATTAAAAAGTTAACTTGTTAATTTAACTTAAAGTTGAAAAGTAATACTATACTTTAAAATGACACTCAAATTATGTAAACATTCAATGTCTTATCAAACAGTTTTCATAAACAAATCAATACTCAAATTTAATTTTTATGATTTAAAATTTTATAATTATTTTATTTTAATAGTCATTATTAATTATCGTAATCATTTACTTTTCACTTGCACCAAATTTGTATTTGTTTTTTATCTGTACTTTGTTGTATTTTAAGATATAGTAAGAATAATAAATTGCATTATATTTTATGAATTCATAATAAAATTGTTTTGAAATAGTAAAATAGTTTAATATAAAAATTTTAAATACGACAAAACTATTATTTTTAATTAACCTGTTAATTTTCAAACCTAACTTTGATTCCATTGACCCCCCAGTCCCGGGTTAATTGAAATAAACATCAACACCGGTAACACTGGTGTGGATCCCGATTAATCCAAATATTTGAGTCAAAAATGGTTAGCCGCACACCAGTTAAGAAGAGGGGTAAACAACCGGATGTGGTCTACGCTGTCGTATACCTGGACTCAAAAGAGACCCAATTTATGAACGCAACTAATTTTGTGGTCGACGGAGAAGTTGTCTATAACGCGTAGAACTACTATAAACACCAACTTTGTATGCCTCACCAAAAACTTTGTTCAAATGATTAAGCCAGTAAATTTTTAATTTTAAAATTACACCATATTCCTTAACTGCTAAATGCAACTGTACACTAACATAACATACTCATTTAATCTATTATATAAAATTTTATTTCTGGAATAATATTGAAACTGAATAACACTGAAAACTTAAGAATATAAATAATATTTCATATGAGGGGCACTCCGTGGCGCACAAATCTAAGTGCATGGACTGAGTGCATACATCTGGGTTAGGTTCAGAGTTCGAGTCCACCTGAGAATCAAGACTTTCTTCACGTTGTATTGTGTCGTCACTACACACACAGAGTCCGGTAGTTTTGCCCGGGCACTCCGGTTTCCCCTACCATCCGAATAGCGACACAAATCTCATGCACAACCCGGATGACCTAACCCGGATGACCTAGTAAACAGCGCCAATCGCATTATGAAGCATATCTGTCTCACTGACTGGTCAACAGTACATACATATAAAACTAATCTGTAATATACCTGTAAATAAAAAAAACTAATTTAATTGCATCAACGCGTTATGATAACAATAAAAGATTTATTATTATTATATAAAATTAAACAAATAAAAATTATAATTGATTGATTCGTATAAAAGTCAAAACAAGTTCTTAGCCCTAGTTTTGTACTTTAAAATATTAAAATTTAACATTACAATTACTCATTGGCAATGAGTGACGAGGGACAGTTTTACAATAATAATATATTCTATGACATATAGTTAATGTACTTATCTTTGCACCAAAGTGTGGACTTGGATAGCCTTGCAATTGATTACATGTTATTATCCCCTAAATTGCCTTTTGGTGGCCAATAATTTAAAAATTTCTCTCAAAAATCTAAAATTCAGAAAAATAGCAAATAAATATTCATGTATAATGTTTAGTACAGTATAATATATGATGTCATTTATATTAAACTTGTTAACTTTCAAACTTTATAGAAAAGAATATTGAAAGTTTATGATTAAACCACTATTTCTGATACATTATTGGAAATATCTGCTCAGATATACCGAGTATTTATAACTTGAACATAACTTGTTTTTGATACTGTACTTTTCTGTATTTTAAAATATATAATGAATTTCTGTAAATTGTTTTATAATTTGTGAATTATTAATAAAATTGTATTGAAATAATAAAATAGTTTAGGATAAACCATTTAAATACGATAGACATATTATCTTTAATAAAAGGCTAATCTTAAAATTAACATTGACCTCTCAATCCCGGGTTAATTAAAACATACATCAACATAACAAATGAAAACAATACTATATACTTATACTATATACTATAAAATATACTGGTTCCTATAAGAGTTCAAAACAAGTTCGCGTACACTAGTTGTGCACTAGAAAATATTAAATATAGATACTATGAGTGACGAGGGACAGTTTAATCTATTGGATACAGTGTACTCCCATTGCACCAAAGTGTGGACTTTTATTGATTACATGTCACTATCCCCTAAATTACCGGTTTTGTAGGAAAGGATTTCTCTCAAAAATCTAAAATTATGAGTAAAAACTATTAAATAAATTAAAATGTTTTGGTATATAAACAATCACTTTAACATATTATGGGTATCGCTTTTGCAATTAGATATCTAGGATATTCTAAAGCTTTATAATATTATATTGTATAAAAATTTTCAAAATGCTCAAATAATCACAATGAATACCATAAGAATTTTAATAGTTTTGTGTGTTTTGGTATTGAATTTACATTTATCTCATTCGCAAAGCAATGATATCTACAAACGGGCAAAGAATTCACGCGATTTTACGGGCAAAGTAGTACTGGTCACCGGATCCAGTTCCGGCATAGGGGAGGGTATCGTAAAACTACTCTCAGTATTGGGCGCCAAAGTTGTGGTCACCGGTAGGAAAGAAGATCAAGTGAAACGTGTGGCACAAGAAGTCCAAGAATTATCGCCTAAAAGATTAAAAGTTAGTTTAGAAATTGATTTTAAAATTTATAATAAATTGATTTTATTTATAGCCGTTGGCTGTTGTGGCGGATGTGACCAAAAGTTATGACTTAAATAATCTAATGAATCAAACCATTAAAACATTTGGCAAATTAGATGTATTGGTGAATAACGCCGGTATCGGGATGTTTGCTGGCGTTAAGGATAATAACTTAATGAAAGTCTTCGATAAAGTGATCCGGACTAATCTGAGAGCTTATGTCAAGTTAAGTCAATTAGCCATTCCTTATCTCGAAGAAACCAATGGCACTATAATTAGTA